CTGGGGGTATGTGTTGGAGTGGCGGCATTGCGAGAGCCAAAATCCCGTTTGTGGAGATTTTGCCCCCCCATAGATTCTCGTGTGGGGGCGGGGGTAGTTGGAGACTTATCTGTCCCCAAGGCGGGGTGATGGGTTTTGAGAGTTTCGTGTTTTTTAATATATATATTTTTTATTGTTATTATTTACTTAGCTTTTCTACCGTTCGTGTGTAATTAATTCTCAGCCTTACTTGCAATTCTAAGGCCTTAGCCACCCTGCCCCCTTAATTATTTTCTGCCAGCCCCCTTATTTACCCCGCGAGACCCGTGGCACCCTGTCCCCCGAAAGCCACGAAGGTCTTGGTGGCCCTGGCAGGGCTGGTTGTCCTTCTGTCTGCCCTTCTGGTTGTCATTGCTCCTTCTGGACTTACTGGGAAGATGGCAGTGGGGGAAAGATCTGTCTCAGCTGCACTCCCAGGCTTACCGTGATAGGAAATGGGATTGGAAACGCTGCCGTGCGGGGGGCTTGGGCACTGCGGGGGGTGATGTCCGTGAACCATGGTGCTGGACACTTGCCAAGCTTACATAGCGCTACAGAAATTGTTTGTGTGGTTCTGTGAAGGCCTAGTGCTTGATGCTCTGGAATCTTATTTCAGAAGGTTTAGCTTGCAAAAGGCTTTTGCAGGTTTGATTTGATGTGATTTTTTTTTTTTCTTACGAGAATGACAACAAGAGATACAGTGGCATTATACTACATAACTAGATTGAGTCTCGAGGTTTTTAAGGGTTGAAAGTAACAAGGCATTTGTGCTAGGCCTTTTTAAAGAGAAAGTACTAATTTCTGAGGGTGGCATTTTAAGATCATGATTAGTTCTCAAGGATTAACAAAAGACATAATAATGTGGGTTCTGCTGTATGGTAAGCTAGATCTCAATTAAAGAGTGTTCTCTCCATTTTTTTTTCATTTTTTTTTCTCCCCCACTTCCTTTTCCTCTTGTTTTCCCTTCCACTGGGAGATTTAAGACTATTTTGCTATACATTGCAATGCACTTTGACATTCAGTTTCTCATCTGTGGAGGGAGATAGTTGTATCATTGCTTTATCTTACACCCACATTTAACATTCTGAAATTAAAAGATACTTTCATTTTTTTTTTTCACAGAGAGGAGGGTTCTGGTGTTTTTCTGCTAAGAGATTTCCAGCTCAGTTTAACACAAGGACATTGGAGTAAGAGCTTTGGCAAGTCTGAGATAGATCAGACCACAGCTGGTTTTGGAGTTTAGTGAGTGAGTTTGAGTACGCAGATTTATATACAGTTACTTAAAAGAACACTGGCCAAAGCATTGACACAACACTTGATGTGCCTTAAAATTAGTGTAATTTCATTTTTGGTAGAGTCTTTAATTGTAGTGGATGCTTTTCTTTTAGGTAGGGGTTTTGCATGAGTAAAAGAAGTGCCTGTATGCTTCTTTGTGAAGTTTGTGGACATTTGCATGATTTTTTTTTTTTTTTTTTTCATATTATCCTGGCAGCTTTAATGCATTAGGATTCCATTTGTTATATACATCCTTTTAAGGTGTGAAAATACCTGTAACCACTTACAACTATCTTCATAAATAACTTGTATAAAATGTTGGGCCACCCGGTGTGCTGGGTGCACCCCAGCACCATTTGAATGTTTATCAACACTTCATTTGTAGTCTAATCACATACAAAGTTTCTAATTTTCTTTTGTCAGGATTGAGGTCAGGGTGACTTCTTAGGATGGAAAATTGCTATATTTTGCTCTGGAATGTATCAGATTTACTCAGTTGTGTCCCAGAAGTGATAGCACTGGTAATATTAGGGAAGAATGTTTTGAGCCAGCCTGAATTTACCTTTGAAAAGAGAGCTGTTGGCAAACCATGTAAATACTAGATTTAAGTCAGTTTAATTGGAGTTGGAATCTCATTTTACTTGGAGTCAGAATGTGAAGTGTCAGTTACTGCCAGTTTAGCAAATAAACCTCCACAGAGGCAGCATTCAAGGGCTCCTGTAGGGCTCCTTCCTTTCAGGTCAGTATCCAGGCATATTGTGTGTACGAGTGGAGAACTGAAACTCCTTGTTCTGCTGAATTTGGAGAACTTCTCTCCTATGTGCCTTCTGTGTAGAATATATCATTTTTTCCCTCTGGATAGCTGTGGAGGAGCAAGTATTCCTAGTATTCCCAGCTGTTGCAGTGTCCAGTCTTGCAAGCAGGCCTGTCATATGTTTCCTTTTCTAAGGGAGCTCATCGACCCTTTGAACATCCGGTGGACTTGAGTGAGGTTATGGGTTTTGTAGGAACTGTTTGGGTACTGAAATTGTTGATGTTTTGACCTCAGTTTGACATGATTGATAACAGAAATCATCACTAAAGGTGAATGTCCCTGTAAATGAAAGTCTGTGCCTTCTTTTTTTCCTTTGTCCTGAAAGGAAACAATACTTAAATGCATTTTTGAAGTTGTGTTTCACAGTCTTTTTCATGTGAAGAGAACTTGATGACTGTGCACGCTGTCTGGGAGATCTGATAGACACCCAGATGAGAAAATAAAGGATATTTATGGGAAAGAGAAGAAGCCTAATGCATAATTGCAACACAGCAGACATTTTAAACTAACTTAGCAGATTTTAAGTTAAATTATATCTACCATACTTGATTTCAGTTCTGTTTCTTTGGTCTTTTAGTCACTAATTTATAGTTTCCATTGGAAGTGATTTAAAGAACAAATGTATTTAATGTTTGAGCAGGTAGTCTTGTACTTAAGATAATTCAGATTTTTATTTCAGCTCTTGTTTATTTTTTGGTAACTCTTCCACCCGCTCTTTCATCCACAATTTACTCGTGTAAGAGTGTTTCTTTGAGATTCTTGTTGCTTTCCATTTATTTCATTACCAGTTTTTATTTGCTAGTGGATTACCTGGGTACGGTGCAGACACTTTGGTTTTGCTGTCTAAAAGTTGTTTGAAATGTGCATGTCTCATGAATTCATATTTTGCATAAAGCTGTATGTACCTTTAGGACAAAAATGGACTTGAGAGCATTTTGAAAAGGTCTTTCCGCTGAGTTTGTACAACACTAATGAAAGTGCTGTAACTTTTTTTTTAATGTGTTATTTTAAAATACAACCCATGATATTTACAGTAAATAATCATTTCATGCCGCTTGTTTTTAGTTACTCTCACAGCTACTGCCAGAAGCTCATGTTTTGGCTCTTGCATTAGCCAGTCATTGCAGATAGTTCTTAACCTTCTGAAGTGTATATAATTAACTGGATAAAGAAAACTTAGAGAGAAAGAGCAAGCAATAACTTTTGAATTATTCTGATATAATTTTTTTGTGAGCTTGAACTTTTTACTCTCTTCAGTCTTCATCACAATGCATTTGAGAGAGGATATGTTTTTTCCCAGGTATATTTTTGTTTTGGTTTTTTTTTTCCTGTTAGACTGCCTTTTAAAAACAAGGTTTTTTTTCAGTTTCGTTGATAACAGAATTACAGATGGACTTGCAGGCTTGGCTGGGCTTGTTTACTTTCTGTTCTTCAGGCTGCTGTTTTTCATTTGAAGCATACTTCTTGATAAGAAGGGAGAGGGGGAGATAGTGAAATAGCTGTTTAGTGTAAAACTAACCTTGAGAGACAGAGAAGGAACTTACAAGGAGAGATTTTTCTCATCCCTTTTATGTAACTGTGTTGTACATGCACTATCAGTTTCAAGACAAATGCTATATGTGTACACTCAGCCATGTTCTAGAGACAGGAGCTTTAAAGGGGTAATTTAAAATAACATGGTTTTTTGTTCAGAAACAACCCAAAGCAGGTTTATGTTATTTCAAGAAGTTTTATACCATCATAGTGGTTGGAGGGAGGTGACTTTCTAGAATGTTGTGCTTATATGTCAGCTTGGGGAAAACACAATAGAAAATGGTTAAGAAATTTCCAGAGTAGTTCTAGGACAGTTTTTAAGTAGTGGTAGTATTTTTTTAATTAACTGACATTCACATTCACAGGTTTGGAGCAAGTCGTGGAGGTCCTCTTCCTCCAAAGAAATTTGGTAATCCAGGGGAACGTTTACGTAAGAAAAAATGGGATTTAAATGAACTGCCCAAGTTTGAGAAGAATTTTTATGTGGAACATCCGGAAGTGGCCAGGCTTACTCCAGTAAGTGCTGTGTTGTCTAAAACAGAAAATGTCACAAGTTGAAAAACTTGTCCTAGGAAGTCTGGGACAGCATGTAAAATAGAGCTGACTCTTCATTAAGCTTGCTTGGCATGTGTACTCTGCTGAATACTGGTTCTAGTTGCATTTACTATTTAACATTAGCAAAGGATATGCTTCTAGCCTTGGTTGTTTTTATATGAGACATTGTAATTTGTAATGCATCTTCATAATGTTTGTCTGGTCCAGCAATTTGTCAGTGGAGATAAAACTTAGAGAGTAACAGTACTGGAGAAGCACTGGAAAAACCTAAGATAATGAACTAAAAGTGACAGAAATACATGAGAAAGGTTTGAAAGTAATATTTTGTCATAAGAGTAATTTGGGCTGAAAGAGGCCTTGGGGGACACGTCTAGTCCAGTGCTCTGCTTAGAGCAGCACTAATGGTAGAAATAGAGCAGGTTGCTTAGTGCCTTGTCCTTTTTAGTTTGAATATCCCCAGAGATGAGGAGAATTTAAATCCTCTCTGGGTGGCTGTCTCAGGGCTTAATGTTTCTCATGGGATTTTGAAGATTTTTCCTATAGTGACCCAACAAGTAGTTGAAAGTAGCAGTTGAAGGTCGCTGTTAGCCCAGTCTTTCCAAGCTAAAGAAATCCAGTGCTCCTAGTATGTCTTCATATGGCCTGTACTGCAGCCTCCAGCTTTCCCCCATAATTGGTCATGCCCTGTTAAAACAATGTCCTTGTCACATAGGGGGTTCAAAACCAGGTGCTCTGTGTTTACTCTGTAGATACAGTAATCTTCCTTTCCTACCAAACTTGAGTCTAGTCTTCTATTGTCTCTTGCAGTGTATTTTTAATAATTAGAAATTAAGATATTTTGTTCTTAGCATGAGGCAACAAACAAACAAAATGTCATTATCTGATCGCATAGACTTAGAAATCCTTATATGAAATGTGCTTATGTCATAAAGGAATTGAAGGGGGTATTGACTTCTTAAAGATACCACAACTTGAGGTACTGAACCGTGGTTTTCGAGAGCTGCCTTAGCTACCTTTGGCTTAGCCAGCTAAAAGGATTTTCACGTTTTCCACAGAAGTAATTTTCTTTTTTTACGTTCTAATTCAAGCTCAAGGGATTCTCAGAAATACTGAATATATTGCTTTGGATAAAGTTTATATTTGGTATTGATATGTCTCTGTTGATTTCTACTAAGTATTACAGTAAGGTCAGGAATTGTCCAAGTATGTTGAAAAAGGCAGTTGGTCAGGAATTGTCCAAGTATGTTGAAAAAGGCAGTTGGACTTGCAAGATAACCTAGACAAAAATAAAACACTTTTTCTAATCCTGAAATTCTGCTTATGTGACTACACATTTCAGAAGTATTACAAGCAGTTCCTTAAAAAAATTGTGAGGTCCTAGGGTATCATTATGATGTTGTCAGAGCTTCTTCCATTCTCTGAAACAATTCCAAGCAACATTTGAGTTGCAAGTTACCCAGCAAGAACTCTGTATTTATTTACCTCTGGAATGTGTTAATTGAAGGAGAAGGACTGCCCTGCATTCTGTTCATGGTATATTAGGACCTAGTTAGTTTGTTTAATTCTTAGCACTGTCACAAAAAGCAAGTTTCCTATCCTCTGTTTCTAATCACTTTTCAAGCTGTTGGTCATTTCTGGCTTCTGGAAAAAGTCTTAATTCCTAAAAATATTCTGTTAACATACTTTTCATTTACAAGGGCTGGTTGTAAGAAGAGATGGACATTTGTCCTTCTAGGCTATATAGGGAGCTCATACCTCTGTGAAGCTCATACCTGAGAAGCTGTACCATACCTCAGTCTTAAAATAAAGTCTTTAGGAAAGCAGTCTTTTCTAGATCTCTGTTTTAATTTAGATCTCTGACAAATCCAGAGGGGAGAAGAGAGTTAGTAGTTGGAAACAGGCACTTTAAATCCCTGTTGATGTTTGGCTTTTTTTCTTTCTTTCTTTCTTTCTTCATAAATAGTATGAAGTCGAAGAATTGCGAAGGAAGAAGGAGATAACAATTCGGGGAATGGAGGGCTGCCCCAAGCCGGTGTTTGCCTTCCACCAGTGTAGCTTTCCACGTAAGTGTTCTTGCCATTCTTTAATCATGAAGATTGCTCAGAATGGTTCTATTCTCTAAGAGGTTCTCTAAAGCCTCAGCTATCCTTTAAGAAATTTATTCTTTTCTTAAATTCTGAAGAGTATGTGATGGATGCCTTGATGGACCAGAACTTTACAGAACCCACTCCGATTCAGTGCCAAGGCTTTCCACTAGCCCTCAGCGGTCGTGACATGGTGGGCATTGCACAGACCGGCTCTGGGAAGACACTAGCAGTGCGTATTCTTTCCTTTTATTTCTTCAGCTAGCTTTCCTTGTCACCTGGCAGAAACTGCCTGTGGGTTAGTTTTTGGGCTTGTCAGTACTGCCAGTGGGATGATTACGTTTTTAAAGCTTCTTGTATTGCATCATGGGGGACAGTTAAGCTCAACTACAAGCCTGTTGTATTCACATGTGTGTATTTTGTTCGTCTTCCCGTTTGGATGTTTAGTCAATTCTCTTTGCTCTATGCTTACATTGTGGTTTAAAAACCAGGTTGTCTTTAGCACTATGTTTTATAAACTGCATAGGTTAAAATAAAAAACGGTTGAATTTCAGCATAGACATTAATTTTAACTGCAGTGTTAAAAAGCCTTTCTATGCTTTATGAAAAACATTGGCTGAGGTAACGATTACTCAGTTCTGCTAACTTAGACTTAAAATTTAAGTAAGCCTTTGTGCTCATGCCAAAGTGGATGCAGTTGGTCAGCAGCTCTGAAAATCTTCTGTTTTGCTGGATAAATGCAAGTATCTGGTTTTGCAGAATCACAGTTTCTATATGTCACAGAATACTGTTTTCTTCTGTTTTAGTACTTGTTGCCTGCAATTGTTCACATCAACCACCAGCCATATTTGGAGAGAGGGGATGGCCCAATTGTAAGTGCTTGTTGAGTCTCTTCCTTTTTATATGTATGGCATGACATTGTTAATGAGATAGTGCTTTATTTAATTGATGTATCAGAATAGTAGTTTTTCCTATCCTATTTGTATCCGAATAGGAATTTTTACTACCACAATGTGAGCATCCCACTCAGTTGAAATTCTGTGCGACTGCTAACATAAAGATACTTAAATGTTTTAGCTAATAAAGAGCAGATGGTTCAACTTTGCTTATGGTTTTATGTTAGGGATATGTATGCAGCTTGACTCTTCCTGAATCATTTCCTTTTGCAGTGTCTGGTTCTGGCACCTACTAGAGAGTTGGCCCAGCAAGTGCAGCAGGTGGCTGATGATTATGGCAAATGTTCAAGACTGAAGAGTACCTGCATATATGGAGGAGCACCCAAAGGTCCCCAGATCAGAGATTTAGAAAGAGGTAATTTTAAAATGGGTGCTTGCAGTTTCTGGAGGAAGTAGTATTGTAAAGTCTCTGTAAAAATAAACTTCTCAAAACCTGTCTGGAAGGGGGTGAGAGTGAGCAAGTGTCTCATTTTCCAGTTGCAATGATAGTTCATGGTGTAGTTCACTTCTTTGCTGTATAGTAACTTGGATATTAGATTTTCATTCTGTTTGTTCTTTGAACATTGCACTTGTGAAGATCATCAGGGTGTTGAAATGGGAAAAGAGAACTTCACACAAAGAAAGAAAGAAAGACAGGTTATTTTAAGGAAATGCAATACCAGCATGTTTAAGGAAGGATTTTTCTTAAGGCAAAGTTCAGGTTTTCTGCCTGTGTTCATTCAAATAATAAAACCTTGCTTCTGAATTGATATAAACTTTTTCTGGATAGCAGGAGCAGTGTGTGGTTTTGCTTTGGGCACAGGTTTTTTTGGTAGTTTTTGGTTTCTTGTTCTTTTTTTAATTGTTCTTAAGCACTAAGCACTATGTACCCTGTAAACAACCACTGTAACATGGTAGTTACAATGATCTGTAATTTCAAATACAGGAATGTGCTGATGGCTTTCATCTTCACCAGATAGAAAATGTAGTGGAATTATGTGAAAAGATGCAAGAATTATTATCAAGCAGACACACATACAGATCTATTTAAGATCAGAAAATTTAGGTTACCACTGCAGTTTGCAGGATCCTTACTGCAAACTGCAGCAGTGTGGTAAAGGCATGCATGGTAGAAGTCTGTGTGATATCTCTGTTCAAGAAAGCAAGTACTTTTCAATTCAAAACCAACATCTTCAGTGGAAGAGTCCAAGGTTTCATGAAGAGTCCTTGGGAGGATCAGCTTGCTGGGTTTTTGCACACCTTTCTGGAAAATAGATATTCTGCTTAAGAAGAAAATTTTTTCATGCCTCTTCTTCCAAAAACTTAATCTTCTGTGGACATTTCAGTGACAGTGAAATACTCACCTGTAAAATTTGGGAATTTGGGACAGGTGGAAGCCAGATTTTAAGGAATGTGTAAATTGCCTAGGCTGGAGTTAGTTAGGAATATCTGAACTCTCTTCTTATCCTCACAAACGTTGATAGGATGGTTGTCTCCCACTGTTGGTGTATAATTGCTTAGTATTAAAACCCATGCTTTGGCTTTATATATTAAAAAAAAGTGAAAGTAATTTGACCTATATGGCAAGAGGAGCACTTCATGTTTGAAAATGACACCTCTCTAGACTGTGTAATTCTAGATGAAGGTAGTTCAGGCTTGAGTAGAAGCTTTCTTCATTCCTGATTTTTGGACAGCTCTTCACAGGTGTTCTTAGCAGTAACCTTTTAGTTTCTGTACTGCATTTATTATTCTAATGGCACTGTAACAGTAATTTCAGAATGGAAAAAATATTAAATGGAACTAGGGCTTCGACTGAAGTGACTCAGTCTTGGGTACGAATGAGGGTGGTGCTTTTTTTTTAAAACAATTTTGCTCTGGAAGGTGATTCATTCTGACTAAAAATACCAGTTGACATTCAAATGAAGAGCCTTACTCTTTTTCGTTATTCTTCTGAAGGTGTGGAGATCTGCATTGCTACACCAGGTCGCTTGATTGACTTCCTTGAGGCTGGAAAGACCAACCTTCGTCGCTGTACATACCTGGTGCTGGATGAAGCTGACAGAATGTTGGACATGGGATTTGAACCACAAATTCGTAAAATTGTTGACCAGATAAGGGTGCGTGATCCTTTTAGAACAGCCTCCTTGATTTTCCTATTTGAAATCTAGTACCGTAAACAAATCTGTTTTCCCTTTTCCTTAGCCTGACCGCCAGACTCTGATGTGGAGTGCCACCTGGCCAAAAGAAGTGCGCCAGCTTGCTGAGGACTTCCTGCAGGACTATGTTCAGATCAATGTGGGAAACCTGGAGTTAAGTGCCAACCACAATATCCTGCAGATAGTGGATGTTTGCATGGAAAGCGAGAAAGACCATAAGTAAGTTCCCACCATTTCACTTTCTTTGGTTGTACTTCAAAGTCTGCAATGCTTTGTAAGCCTACTAGGAATTCTAAATAGTGAATTTACTTGTACTTGTACTGCTATTTAACCTTTGAGTGTTACAAAGTCAGTCCTGTAATTAGCTAATTTGTCGTGTATATTTTGACCATACCTTTGTACAACCAGCAGAAATTCTGTGTGATACTGACTAATATATATGGATGTGTGCTGTGTATGTCCTCACTGTCCCTTGGGAGAGAGATCCTATATTCTGGTACATGTGGTTATCCATCTTGTCTCTCATGTCTGTTTTAGACTGATACAGCTGATGGAAGAAATCATGGCAGAGAAGGAAAATAAGACTATCATCTTTGTGGAGACAAAGAGGCGATGTGATGATCTCACTCGAAGGATGCGCAGAGATGGGTGATTAGCTTCTCCCTCCACTTTTTTTCTAGGGGGAAGCAAAAATTGTAATCAATAGCAGTAAGGTTTAAATGTTCATGATGGTATTCTTGGGAACAACTTATCCATTATTTTCTTGGCTGAATTCAGTCATTGTTTCCCAGAAGATTCCACTCCATCAGAGCATTAGTACAAGAAAGATTTTAAGTGGTGCAGCTTTTTTAGTCTATCAGAATCCTGATATGTTGATGGGGACTGCATCAATATAGCAAATGTGATTTGGCTTTAATGGTTGTTTATATAGGTAGCGGGTTTACAGTACACGTGCTGGGTAGCTAGAGGCCAGAGAACAAAATATTTCAAGCTTCCTGTTTCCTTTAATGTATGTACTTTCTATCTATACTAATGTACATCTCTGTTTGGCAGTTGGCCAGCTATGTGTATCCATGGAGACAAGAGTCAGCCAGAAAGAGATTGGGTGCTTAATGGTGAGTCCGTCACTGACAGAAGAATAACTTGGGCTGTTGTACCTAATTTACCTAGACATGTTTTTCTCTGGTCTGTTTGGTTCTGGTTTGTTGTTTTTGTTTTTTTTTTATCTCTGAACCAAATAGACACATGTAAAGGGACTTCTCTTGCCTTTGTACTCTTAATTTCAGTACTTGTGTCTTTTTTGATTTGTTTTGATAAAACAAAGTGGAAAAATTGCTTAATGCAGCTGGATTTTGAAAAATCGTTGAGGCATTATATCCTGACTTGGGGGTTTCTGGAATTGACCCACCTTATCTAGCTTCTGCAAAAGGAGCATTTAATGTAAATCAAATTCAGATAACTTTATCTTCTTGAAAAATCTTACTTCATAGCATGCTTTGTTTTACAGAATTTCGTTCTGGAAAGGCTCCTATCCTCATTGCTACCGACGTTGCATCTCGTGGGCTAGGTTTGTACACATAGACCACTCTTGCCTACTGCTGCATATTTTTCTTCTTTGGACTGAAAAATGTTTCTTTAAAAAAAAATTCAAAGCGTGATTTTCCCCCACATGTGAAATACGTTTTTTAACATTAATCTTTTTTTTTTCTTTCATATTCAAAGTCTCTTCCTGCTCCTAATGAACAGGCTTTGGTCTGCAGCAAGGCCTAGGCATGACCAATCGATCGCCAAGAGGGAGAAGAGATGTCCAATTATGCAACCCAACCCTTCCACCTCACTCACTTCTTCCCCAAATCCAGCTTTTGTTGCTGGATGGTAGGGATGGATTGCTCTCAGTTCAGAGCGTGTCAGATAAAGTTCAAGTAGGAAGTTGTGGGAGAGCATTTCGACAGCAAATAGTGAATATTCTCCCCGTATGACACACCACAGATTTGAACATACCAACACCAGTGTACATGCATGTTTACCCTGCAGATGTATTCACATCTGAGAAAGCACTGCTCCAGATCTTTGCTCTTGACATGTAACCTTCCCTCCTCCTCTGTGTTCCTTCTAGGCAGGACCACTGAGATGATATATGGCCTTTAACATCTTGTTACCCAGATACGTAATTGAATCAAAATCACACAGCTCTGTTCTGGTGGTATGAAAATGATCTGTCTGGATGCATCAGTTGTGCCCCCTTCTATAATAAGCATATTTTTGTTGTGAAACACTGTGTGCTGAGCACAGTCCTTATGCATCTGCCCACCCTAGAAGAGGAGGATGGCTGCTGAAGTGCTCTGAGTTTAATAACAGACATTGAATACTCTGCCCACCCGGAATTTAGTAGACGATAAACTACTTGGGAGTCAATGTCTCATTGTAGTAAGTTCTAGACAAAATTACTGCAAATCGGTGGAGATTTAACTCAGAGAATCTAGTTTGTTAAAAGGCTCAGTTACCTGAGCTCTCTTTGTATCCTGAAAGGGTGGCTGTGCTGTGCATCATATGGTCACTTTAATACAGGCAGACCATTGACAGACTTTGCAGCCTTTGTTCACACAACCTTCACCCCTCCTTCCCCTCCCCCCTCAAAAAATGTCCAGCACTTCCTCAGGAAGTGATTATATGGACTTCAGTCTCTGCCCTCTAGGGTCATGTCTGGACCTGTGCAGTTAGAACTTGGGCCTGTTGGGAGAAGGGACTGAGGCCTGAAACCAGTTTGTATGAAAGAGAGCTGCTTTCTCTAGCAGCATTTTTTAAACAGGCTTGCTATGTGCTGGTAGCTTCTTTGTGCATCTTGCCTAGACATTTAAAACAGCCTCAACCCCCTCAAAAAAAAAAAAAACCAACAAAAAAACAACCAACAAAAACCAACACTCTCCCCCAAAACGACTCAATTGGATAACACTTCAGAAAACAGTCTCCCCAGTTCCCATCGTCCACTTCGCCCAAGCTAAGGGGGAAAGGTATCAGAGTCTGTTTCTTGTTACTGAACAACATCTCTGCTTGTTTTGGGGCCCTGAGTTTGCTGCTTAAAATAAGTCACTTAACTGGCAAACTTCTGGACGACTTCCTCCAAGATCCTGGAAAGTGAAGGCTTCTACCTAAATAACATAAAACAGGGGCGCGCGCCTTTTGGCTGAGTCACCAGGGCTTTCCCTCTTCCTAATGGAACATTGGTTTCAAAAAAGCTTCTTTCAGGTAAGTTCTGAGTCCCGTAATGACTTCTTTGTGATAATTCCCTGGAGTAAGGTCCTCTCTCTGCACTGATTTTTTTTTTTTCTTTTTTTATTTTTTTTTTCCTTTTTTTTTGTTTAGTCTATTAAACTGAAGACATTGAATTTGTTTTGTTTTGTTTAACAGAAGCTTTGTTATCAGCTGCAGATAATTCTCAGTGCAGGGGTGGGGGTACACCTACAACAATGGTCTGAACAGCTCTCTAGACTAGCATGTTTGCTAGTTTATATCTGTCCCATTTAATAATTGGAGACTGTGCCATAGAGTGTTCTGATGGTCTGACAAAGGGAATGTTTCCCAGGTAGCTGTCAAAAACGATTTACAGTCTCAATTCTTGATCCTGCTACATTATCTTCTAAAAGTGCAGGAGGATTGCGAGTGTGCACAAACACTTTGGAGCACGCTAGACTGGAGAAGCTGAGTCTTGTACAAGCTCTGGTCTTCAGCGTGCTGCGTGCTCTAACAGGACCACTTTCTAGTTTGGAAAACATCCTTGCATCTTCCTATTCCTGCCTTCCCATTCTTTCTGCTCCTCCCCAGTCAAGTCAGTTCTGTCTGCATTGGTAGCCACAATTCCTTGTGCTTTCTGACAGGAAAGCACATTCTTGTATCCTCTGGTAATTCAAGTCACTTGCTACTGGATGTGCAAAACGGGACTGGCTGAGGACCATGTAGCCTGGAGCTTGTCAGTCTAGCTACACCCCGGCTATGAAGATGCAATCTGTCACACGTACTCCTCTCTATACTTCACTTCCCCTTTTTAAAAAAACTGTTGCATCAAGGACCCTAGCTGGAGACTCGCGCAGCCCCCTGTGAAACCTGCCTTCTCACTCCCTTTTTTTGGTGTGATTCAGGACTTTGGAGTCAGCAAAGACTGAGGAGCCCCCCCTTTGCTGTAATAAGAAACAGACATAATGTCCCCCTCTTGTCACAACAACCCTCAATGTTTTTATTTTTCCTACAACCCCTTTGAAATTGATGCAGTCTGGGCAATAGATGCAGTCTGACCCTTTGGATGTAATTTTTGTATCTTCATTTTTTTTGACAATTGCCCCTAAGAGCCCCAAATAGGGGACAAAAAGTGTTGGAGGACCTGAAACTTTTACCTGAGCCCAGGTTCTCCGGCGCTTCACAACCAAATGGGGCTACAGAGAAGCGTCTAAGCCAGTTCACAGAGCGAGCGTGTGTGGGGACTTCTCGCTGCCACGGACCCTTGATGCATGCTCCCCGCGCTCCAGTGGTCCCGTGTCAGAGGGCGGAGTTTTCGAAAGGAGGCCGCCAAAAATAAAAGGCAAAGAGACGGGATCGGCTGCAGCGGTTTCCCACAGGAGGAGGGAGTGTGCATCGGTCTGGTAACAAACAGAGAATGTTTTTCTCTTTAAAACAAAAACAACAAAAAAAAAAAAGGAAAGGAAATCACAAAAAATCTGTGTTTTATCTTGGATATTTTCAGAATATTCTTGTTAAAATGCAGATTTAAAATATTTTTTTTTATGAGCTGTTACTGTTAGGGTACTTACTGTATAATGATGCATTTGGAAATACTGTATAATATAGCAAGTAGGTGCTTTTGGTACTTAAGGTGCTTTCGCTGAAGCGTTGCGCTAACATTTACTTAGTTTCTGTCCCGTAAGTTTACAAAGTCTTGTCTTGTCTTAGAAAACACAATGCCTATCCCTTAAATTTTAAAACTGTTTTTGCCTACAAAGCTATTTTGGTAATTTTATTTCCTGCTTCCATCTGACACTGGAAGTAGGGAATTGCTTATGGAATTCAGGATTGTCTAGATTACGCAGGTTTGCCAGAACTGGACAGAACAACACAGAAATGTTAGTGCAATGCATTCTAGTGATAACTACAAAGCTGAGTTAAGATACTTTTAGGTCTGAAAAATTTTTAATGAGTTGGCTGAATAAAACTAATGTAATTTGAATGCCTAAAGCTTTAGGCTAGGGGAATTAGTTCATTGTATTTTATTAGTACTGTAAAAGTAAATATTTTTAAGATTGCCTTTTATTTCATGTTACCGAGTGGAAGGTAAGTGATTTCATTACTGTTATTTTTTGTTAGACTTCTCCCAACAGAGTAAAAGCTTTACCATGGCAGTTCTGCCCTTCCTCCACCCCAGTTTGCTCTGTCTGATGGTGACATTTTCACTTTACAGATTGTGTTAAAAAAGTATGAAATTCAATTAACTTATTCACAAATATCAGTGTCTTTGACACAGGAAGACAGAGAAATGCATTCCGGGGAGGATGACTTTGAGTGCAGGGCAAAGCTGCTTAAAATTGCCATTCTTTTTCAGGACACTGACCTTTGTTCCTAATGATCTTGAATTTCAGTCTTCTACTCTTTTGGGATGAGTCTGTCTTGTATTTATTCTGTGCAATTACTAACTTTGTATTTTTTTTTCTTATTACTGTCACCTGCATTCGTGCTCCCCACCTTTCGTTGGCACGTCTTCTCTTCTTCTCCCCTTTCCTCAACCCCACCCTTTCACTGTGCTTCGCTCCTGGGCACTTCACAAGACGTGGACCACAGAGGAGGAGGAGGTGGTGGTGGAGGTAAAGGCACAAGGGAGAAGGGTTACACAGAGGATGCATTCCCCATTTTGAGGGAGGGAGTGTTAAAGAGAGGGTAGGGAAGTTGTAAGTAACAGATATAAGATAACACATTAGTCATAAAGCTGTTCTATACTTGAGGTCCCAACACTTAATGTAGACGTAGTACTTCTGTCCCAAGAGAGAAGCAGTCCCCTATTTACTTAATGTAGACGTAGTACTTCTGTCCCAAGAGAGAAGCAGTCCCCTATTTTACCTTAGCTGTAGAATTTTGTTTTTCCTCAAGGTCCTCAGGGAGCTGATTTTGCGTGCAGTAATTACTTCGTCACAGCTCCACCTAAGAACAGGCAACAAGGTGTATGTGCAAAATTGAAATCAGTGAAGGGATACACTGAATTTCAGGAGCTGACACACTTCTTCTTCCCATTCCCTGAAGGAATAAGAAGTTTCCTTCCGAATTAGTCCTGAATTTCTTCCATTTCTTTGTCTCCAAGCACATACATAAAGAACCCTTGCTTGAACTTCACGTTTACACCTTAAACAAAATGAAGAGGCATATGCACAGCTGTGCAGAGAAGTTACAGTCAGTCAGAAGAAAGTGCTCCTTGGGAGCAAAATTGTGGATGTAGGAGGGGGAGAAAGGGTGGCATAAGTGTACCAGATCATTGTTTAAGACTTGTTCATGGTTCTAAATCTTAATGTATCCATCGCCAGGAGGTCGTTCTCGTTACCGAACGAGCAGTTCAGTAAACAACCCTAACCTGATGTACCAGGAAGAGTGTGACAGGAGGCTCCGGGGAGTGAAAGAGGGCCGGAGAGACTCAGGTGGCTTCAGAGACCGTGAGCGTGGTGAAAGTTATGCCAACGGAGCCAACAAGACCTATGGCAGTGCCTACGGGAGCCCAAATTCTGCTTTTGGGGCAGCACAGAGCCAGTATGGTTACACTCAAGGGAGCTATGGAGCAGCTGCCTATGGCACGAGTGGCTATGGCACTGCAGAGTACAGTGCTAGTGGCTATGGTGCCAGCACCACAGCTGCCACAGCTGGGAGAACCTCACAGAGCACTACCCAACAGCAGTATGCAGGGATGGTGGGGCGCTCGGGCCAGCAGCCACAGCCGCTCATGTCACAACAGTTTCCACAGCCCCCTGCCACTAACGTGATGGGCTATATGGGACAGACTGCCACCTACCAGTACCCG